GACGAAGTAACGGTGTGACGAAGTAGCTAAGTGACGAGGTGACGATGTGGTGAAGTGACGAAGTGACGATGTGGCGAAGTGACCATGTGACGAGGTGACGATGTGACGATGTGACGAAGTAACAATCTGGCGGAGTAACAATGTAACTAGGTGACATGGTGTCGATTTTTTATATGTGTATGGGTGACGATGGCTCTCTGTTTTCGCTAACTTTTGGTTTTTTTTGTTGTGTCGGAAAGTGGCTTGTTTATATTTATTTGTATATGGATACTGTTTTGGAAAGGAATATATTTTCCCCTAACCTTTCAATTTTTTATCTATCGCAAGTCATGGCGGATGACATATAGATGTAAGATAAGGTAGGACTGATCTGTGTGGTAGGCCGCGGATAATAGGGTTGAAGGGATCTCTTTAAATATATTAGCATGCGAGAAATTTATTAATAAAGATTAAATTATAAGTAGAGAATAATATGTTAACATGCAAATATTATATTTAGTCTTTCTGTTTATGTCTATCCATTGAATTCGATATTGAATTTTTGAACTCGATGGTTTCCACAATCGACAACATAGAAATTCCCGTGTCGATCGAATGACAAACCGAGGGGTGCATTGAGTTGGTTCGATTGTTCTTCTCTACCGTTTCCACCAACAATGACACTTCCCTGTGTGGCTCCTTTAGGCCAACGCATGATTCGATCATTCCATCGATCAGCCACATAGACAGTGCCCAATTGATCGACAACGACTCCTTGAGGACAAGACAATCGTGTAAAACCATTTCCATATCCTTGACCACCAGCCGCGACAATGCCTTGTTTTGCACCTTCCATCCATTTCATCACACGATGATTGTCCCTATCAGATACATACACTGAATGATCTCGATCGACAAATACATTTTCGGGGCAAGAGAGTTGATCGAGACGATTTCCATATCCATTGCCACCTGCAACCACTGTTCCTTGAGATTCTCCTTTTCGATATCGTCTCACTTCATCTTTTCCATAGTCAGTGACATAGAGAGATTCATTCTCGTCCATTGTCAAACCCATACAATAGATGTTGGAGATGATTGTTTCTCCACTTGTCCCATTTCGACGAGGCCATCGAACCACTCTTTGATTCGAATGGTCGCATATGATGAGACTATCTCTCTCTTTGTCGATAATCACATCTGTTGGGTTAGACAATTGATGATCTCCACTTCCTTGTCCATTTCCACCGGCAACCACTTGGCCACTTGTTGCACCTCGTTTCCATTCCACAATACGATGATTTGATTGATCAGCAACATAGATTGTTTGATCATCATCAACATACAAACCACATGGATTTGAGAGTTGATTGATTTCATTGCCTTGTCGCTTTCCTCCAGCCACAATGATACCATTTTGTTGCCATCGAGCATTCGGATGAATGTTGGTGCTGAATGGAGAACGTAATGGATAATCTAAAATAGAGACAAGAAAAATTATTAAAATAAGAGAGAGAAGTTTTTTATTCATAGAAATTGGATTTGCGAGAAGACGAGAAACCCTTTTTAGTCAAATTCTCAACTTTGTTAACAACAATTATTTTTTTAACTCTTTTGTTTGTTTATGTTTACGGTGATAGAGATATATGAGAAAGGTGAAGACATTGAATGAGAAGTGTGGGTTTTCTTCTATGATTTTGCAACTAATTCATGTGTAAATATCATGTGTTAATCAAACTAGTTTTTGGTTATGTTACGGATCATCTCTTTCTTGGAAGCATGTCTTTTATTAAATTATGTTGTTAATCAGTTCAATCTTTAATTACTAAATAAGATTAGAAGAAATATTTTGCATGGTTAATCTTCTTCATGATAAAATTATCAGTAGAAATACTCTCAAGATAAATATTGCTGATCTATGAAAAGCCTATCGAATTTTCAAACATTATTCTATGAAATACATATATGATATTTCTTGTTTTGCTTTATTTGCAATTATCTCATCAAATTGTAAATGCGAGAAACATGTAACGTTCATCCGTGTGACTCGCTTTATCGTCGACTAAATATTCGGCTCTTTCGGTATGTTATATTTCTTTGCAGCTCTCAACAAAGCGATTATCCAACATTTGAAAAAGCGCGTGTGTGGATGCTGATACTAGTGTCAGTCTCCTGGTGCATGATGGTATGTGTGTCCATGTAAGAATTTTTGTCATAAACTCATCTCATCAAACTGGTATACACACGTCGATACTCAACAGAAATCTAAATGAACTACACACACTAGACAAAAGAGTTTATATTTACAATTTACTGAAAGGATCACGAACAAGGGGGAATCAACTGATTTAAATCAGCTAAAACTCAAAATTAAATCCGTTAAATCATCTTCACTCATTTTAAATCACAAAAATCAGCTTAAACTCATTGTAACTCAGCATAAATCATTTTAAATCAGTATAGCTTTAAAAAATTCTTACAGTCGAAAGATATACTCGAACTTGATATTTTTGTTCAATCACTATTTAAGTTTTTTTCAAATTATTTAATTAAAATCAAAAAATTCATACTAGCACACAGTCATTGGATATTTTCTTTATATCTTATAGCGTAGAATATATTTCTCTCTATTCTACTAATGTAGAAAACATGTGATGAAATTCACAATAAAATATTCTAACGAATGCTTTTTCATTCTTATATAACTAGACTAGAATAAAAAACAGACAAAGAGAAAATTCAATCCACCTCGTGTATCTAGCTGAAATGAAGTGATCCGAAATTTATATTATTTTTTTATCTGTTGTCGTTCTTTAGATCGATTATTTTCATCTGACCATCTTTAGACAATAACAAAATTTTTGTTT